TCCCTCCCTCCCTCCCTCCCTCAAGAACAAACTTGATTCATGATTCTCAAGAGTCATTTCACAAGATGGGCAGTGACAAATTTGATGCATAAATAAAAAAGTAAATAAATGATTAGTCTATGAAAGAGTGACCAGTGCAAAGTCAATCAGTGAGCTTTGATGGCTGATGATGGACTTGAATTTTTCTGAGGCTTCCTGATAACCAACCATGTTAATGTAGACTTTCCACAGTTTAATTCAGGATCATACCTAGCTCTCCTTGGTCCTAGTCCAGCCCCTTAACCATTACAACATACTGTCTTCTTTGTGGGTCCCATCTGCTTTCCTATACTTTTCTTTTGAAGCTTATTTGCCATCTTTTCCTCCACAGAGAAGACAAGCAATGGTTTATCACCAACCAAATAATGTGGACTGTTCATGTCCTAAGGGACAGATGGCCTTATATCCTGAAACCTATTAAATAGAGGGGCAGTTTTCTGTTGCAAATCAATCCTACTCTTTCTCTTCACCCAAAGGCACATTTCCTGTCTACCTGGGAAAATTTTCCATTCAATCTCTCCAACAACAAAGGAAAATGAGACGTTGGTTCCAGTTCTTTTCCTTTTTAGCAGTTTTCAGAGGTATGTACAGATATATAAATTTTTTTTTTTCAGACAAAGGGGACAGGACATTCTCAAAGCCATTAGATAGCAGGATTCCTTGCTTCGATCATTGACCTATCATAAAGAATTTGATTTTATAAGGATTCCTTACAATGCTTTATGTTTCAGTTATCCAATCAGACATTCAACAGGTGATGTCTGGTGCTGATAAAAAAAAAAAATCCTGTCTGTCTAAGAAATCTGTCTGACTTTCCTGTCAAGCCTTTTGACTTCACCTTCACCTTCAAGAAGCTCCTGGAGAAGATTTGGAATGGTTGGGAGACATTGCTACAGGTTCAATTACCATATACCAGTGTTGTCAAAACTTGACCACTTTAAGATGAGTGGACTTCAACTCCCAGAATTCTCCAGCCAGCATATGGAGACTGCCATATACTATTCATGTAAGGCGAAGGGTCGCTTCACTATCTCCATGGGTGATTTGAATCCCTTCTTGTAATTGCAAATGAACAATCTGAAAACTGAAGACACGGCTCTGTATTACTGTGCATGCTACACAGTGAGGGGAAGTAGATCAGATTTCAGACAAAAACAGACTCTTTGTTTCTAATAATAGCACACCATGCTGTTAAATAAAGAAATGAGAAGCAATGGTGTATCTTTTTATGCCACTGATCAGAAACTGACGTGAACACCTGGCTGGGGAGGAATGACATTTTGAAATTCTCTACCAAATTAGTAAAAGGACCACAGTGATCTCAGGGTTGTGTCAAAGTCAGCAGATTGAAATCCCTATGCACCAGCAGCCTCAGGGAACTTATTGACCGCCCAGCAGTGAAATGCACCAGCTCTGTCAGGGATCTGCT